TGCAGGTCCTCAGCTGGTTAAAACCTCATTCAAATTTGAAAAGTCTTGAAATTTCTTGCTATGGTGGCAAGTGTTTCCCAAATTGGGTTTGTGATCCATTATTATTTTTGAATTTATCATCTATGAAGCTCAGCAATTGTAAGAGATGCACTTTGTTACCATCACTTGGTCTACTACCTGTTCTCAAAAGATTGATTATTGAAGGCATGGATGTTATAGAAGCTGTAGGTTATGAGTTTTATGGGGGACAAGATTGTTTTCCATTACTAGAGGAGCTGGTGTTTCGAAACATGTTAAATTGGAAGAAATGGACTTCTCCAACTAGAAGTGAAGGTGAATTCCCTTGTCTTTATAAGCTTGTGATTCAAAATTGTCCTAAGTTGTTAGGCCAATTACCTAGCAACCTTTCTTCACTTAAAGAGTTGGATGTTAGAAGCTGCAATGCGATGCTTTTGAAGAGTATGGATGATCGTGCCTCACTTGCTCATTTAAGAATTAAGAGAATTGCAGAACTGACTTGCTTGCCTATGAGTATGAGTCTTCCATCACTGAAAGAGCTGTATATGGAAAACTGCAACGGGGTGCTTTTAAATTGCATCGTCAATCTGACCTCCCTCACTAAATTGAGAATAAGGGCAATTGCAGAACTGACTTGCTTGCCTAAGAGTTTTGCACAGTCCTTGATAGCACTTGAGACTCTAGATATTGGATACTGCAATGATCTTACTTGTTTGTGGGAGGAAGGGGCAGAAATAGAACAAAGCCTCTTGCCTTTCAATCTTAAACATCTTAGCCTTAAGCAATGTAGAGCTTTGGAGTCATTACCCAATGCAATGATGGTGCAAATGGATGGAAGCAGTAGCCGCAACACTGGTATGTTGATGTTGAGACTTGAAAAGTTGGAAATTTCTGGTTGTGATTCTGTCAAGTCTTTTCCAAGAGGCAAATTACCTATCACGCTTAAGTACTTGAGAATAGCAGACTGTAAAGGTTTGGGGTCTCTACCAGATGCAGATAGTGACACCAATAGCAATCTACATTTGGAAATAAGTAATCTTCCATGTTTGTATTCTTCTGAGTGTTGTCATCAATTACCAGCTTTTCTCAAGAGATTTGCAGTTAGTGGTTGCAAATGGGTGGAATCATTCCCAGAGAGGATGTTGCAACATTGTATGGGACTCCAATCCATTTCTATTTGCGAGTGTACAATATTGAAAAGTTTACCCACCCTTGATTGGGTCAGCAATCTTGTTGAATTATCTATTGAAAGCTGTGGTCTTCTCAAGTCCTTCCCAAATACAATATGTCAGTTGAAATCTCTTCGAAGTCTATCAATGGAAGACTGTCCTGGCATCAAGTTCATTCCAGATGGGGGTTTGCCACCAAGCTTAACAGACCTTGCATTCTTAGACTGTAAGAATCTCAATTCCCTCCCAAATACGATGTACCAGCTAAAATCTCTTCAAAGGCTATGGTTGGAAGACTGCCTCAGCATTGAGTTCATTCTGGATGGGGGTTTGCCCCCAAACTTAACAGATCTTAGATTAGACTGTATGAATCTCAAGTATATACCAAATACAATGTACCAGCTCACATCACTTCAGAGATTAACAATCCCAGGTGGAGCTTTGACAATGGGCCTCCAAAACCTTACGTCTCTTCAAGAATTGACAATTGAGCAGGAATTCCCTCTGGATATTGTGTTGCCTTCTTCTTTAACCTCTCTTGAGATAAAGAATGAAGAAAATTTGAAATCCATACCAGGAGGGCTCTTGCAAAACCTAAACTCCTTGCAAAAGTTATGGATAATTGACTGCTGGAAGCTACAATCTTTGCCAGAGGAAGCCTTCCCTCCTTCGCTTGGAGAACTATATATCAGCAACTGTCCATTTCTAAAACGACAGCGATTTGAGGCAAAAGGAGACTACTGGACTCTCACCTGTGCCATCCCCAATGTTGAGATAGATGATGATGAGGTAATAACACAGTGTGAACTGAAACAGGCATCACCATTTTATGTTTTCGTATAGTGTTGCTTGCTTGCACTTCTCACATGTTTCTTGCACTATTTATTTTCCACCTCAAAAATTATTTTCCTCTGAAAACATGAAGTCAATTGCTCGAAATTGGCTAATGCATTTCTTGAAATTCACAAATATATTGATAGGGCCAGAACCACCAATGAGCTTTCAAAATGATATTCTTAGGCAAGCCAACCAATTTCAATTTTAAATTCAATTACCGCAGGACCTCATGTTTGAAGAGTTGGGAGCCTGCTGATTCCGAATGATATTCTCAATATATATAGTGCCTTACTTCTTGCCTGCTGCATGTCATAGGGACTGCCCTTTGTTCAAATGTGATTATTCTGTAAGCTGGAACTGAAACGCAGATGACCAAGTCAAGCTGCAGGCAGTTTGAGAAATTTTTCTTTTGGGAAAGTAGAACTTATCCTGTAAGTATCCAAATTACCTCCTTAAAATTTTACCATGATGCCTTTTTGCTTTGGTATTTTGAAGAATAGGGAATCAAAAGTGATATTTTTTGAAGAATTATATATGCTTTCTATATCACGCCATATCTGTCGTTCATTTTACTTCAGCAAAGTGATACATTTTGATGATATACTAGTCTATTCGTCTGTTATCTATGATGTTAGCTGCCTAAGAATTCTTTGATTATTTCTGGTTGCTTTCTTCCCTCGATCAGTATATATTGGTTGCATTAAAGACTATCTAATTTCTGTCTTCTTCAATAACAGGTTATATTATATTACCATATATTGTGTGCTTGGCATTCTTTTTCACTGACAATGCACCTTAAGGGTTTTTCATGTTAAAAAAATTTCAGTGTCTTGATTGTGTGCATGTGTTAATTTTTATTCTTGTTAGTAGTTGCTTGCTTTATTTTTAAGTTTGATTATTTTCTGCTTAATTGTGCATAGAGGGAAGAATACTTGTTGAGTGTGGTATTTGGTGAGCCTTTTTGGAACAGTGTATTATACACTGATTGGTTTTCAATTCTTTTTTTTTTTTTCTTTCTGATCCCTATTCAAGTTGAATTTGTTATTTATACTGGACTCTTTGGTGATGGACCATAATTGGACTTGTGTATATCATCAACCCAAATAAAATCTTTAGGATTTGGTCCATATACACATTTCTGAATTTAATGGATAAAACAGATGGTTTTTGTTCTTTAAAAAGGAAAAGCAAATGCTTTATTTACATCCACCATAAGCTTAAGAACATAAGTCAAGCCCTGAAGAAGTATTACTCAGTTATGAAGGGATTGATCTTTGATATCTTGTGGTTGTGAATAGTTTTGTATACAAGAAATGAAATATTAACATTGTTAATACATTTATTTCAATTGAATACGGAATACTCTAAAGCCTGAAAGGTCTGGTATAGTGTCTATGTAGAGCAGCCAGGCTAACTGGTCTTTCATTTCTGAACCTTGCAGTGACATCTCTTGTAGATGCATCCAGGTGAACCCATGTGAACTATCACCCTCCTGAAATCCACAAATCAATCATCTAAGCAAAAGTTAGCACAAGAAAATCAGTAGAAAAGATCAGTTTTAGTGACAGCTTCAACAATAGTGGTCTGCAGCATCAGTGTTAGTGACGTTAGTGACCTTCCTTCTTGCCTGGAACATGGTTTTGGTTTTTGGCCATCTAGTCTGGCCTTTTGTTAACATGGGCTTTTCTGTATGCTGGAACTGGAAAGTGGATTACCTTTGGTGAATTCAAGAAGCCTGCAATCTGTTTGAAGCTTCTGTTTTGCAATCTTTCAGTTGGGAAAGCAGAACTTACCCTGTGAGTAGCCAAACTACCTCTTTTAATTTCTATTGTGCTACTTCTTTTGTTTATGTTATTATTTAGGATTTTAATTCACTCAAGATATCTCTGTCTTCACCCTTCATTTCAGCAATGTACTTATTCATTGATTCCTTTTCCTGTTGCAGCTTACAAGATGTGCCATCTTTGTGTTATTATATCTATATTGATTCCAGTGCGGGGGACTTCAGTAGATCCCATCGCATCTCCTAACAAGAAATTAGTCTCCCACACATTCCCTTATTTTTATGTATGCAACACACAGGGGAAAGAAAAAAAAAAAAGGTGGTCTTGCGGACTGCTGATGAAAAGAGGAAAAAAGTCAGAAACCAAACAGTAGCAAACCAGAAATGCATCAGGTACCAGTTATTTCAACTCACATGTAATATTAGCAACATTTGAACAATACTTGGCATCATGGCATGTTTAGAACAATGTCGCCTTAACTAACCCTCCCCGCACCCCCATCTTCTTCACGTTCATCTAAATTTCTCGTAATTTTGGTGATTGCTTCCTTGCAACTTCATAACATCTTACGTAGTTCTTGTCTTGTATCTTATAGGATTTGAATAAAGATAAACCCTTTACCTTTTTCATTCTAGTTTTCTTCAAAGTCAACTACAGTATTAGTTAAAGGTGATTGGTCAAGATTCCAAGTCCAAGCCTCCAAGGCAGTGAAAATGCTAAAGGAACTCCAACAATGGCATTGATCCAAAATATTTGGTGCAGTATGATGTATAGGAGTTCTAGTCATCCTTCTCATATCAATATAAAACCTAGTGTTTTCTTGTGGAATATCTTCACAATTTAGTCTCAAAATGCTAGACTTTAAAATAAATTTCTTTCAGCTTTGTAGGATACGGATTTTCTGGATCCATTTGTTAATTAACTTCTACTTCCGTCAGAGATAACTCAGGTGAGTGTGGGTGCTTTGACATTAACACTACTTTTCATGTAGGAATGCTTCTGGTATAATGAATAAGAAAGGAATGATCCAAAAATATGCCCTGTGTTTCTCTCTTATTTGTCTTAATTTGCAGCCAAGATTACTTCACAAACACAGCTGCATTTAGTGCTGCTTCACTTACCAATGGATTGACTTACTGATTATAGTTTGAAATTAAACATCTTGATGAACAAATGCAGGTGTTCCCGGGATCCATCATGGTTGCAGTAACTCTTACCCTTTTTTTAAAGCCACTTCAATTTCCCTACTGTACTTCTCATCCCTAGAGAGATTCTCTATCATTTTATCAAGAAGTTTCTAAGCCCTAATTCACTTTTGCAGGACATGGATTTTCTTGGAGTTTTTCTCCTAACTTTTCTTGCAATCAAGGACAGTTCGAGGATATATTTGAAGGTGGATGCAGTAATGCTTTGAGGTAGCATTATGTGCAAATTATTTCAAGGTGCATGGCTGTCACATTTAATCCTTTAATACGCACAAAATTTAGAAATTTCAATTCAAGTTGTTACTTGTTGTAAATGGACTTATAAGACTAATTAATGTCATACCAGACTAATTCATGGACTTACAACCGTGAGTTGCTTTGATGGTACTTAATTGGACCACTTTTCTTTGTTCAGAAAGCACACTAATTAGAACTACCATTGTTCTTCTTTCTTCAGTATCCATCTGCTGTATCATTCCAAAAATAGGCAGAGAAACTGTGAGGGTGAACAGTTACGACGGTAGCAAGAATGTGTGGTTTTGCTGGATTATCGGTTCTTTGGTCTTGATTTACCACCTTTGGAGAGAAGAAAGGAACAGGCAGATTCATCAACAACAATTTCAGTCAGTAATGATGCTTTTGTTAAGCCTAAATTAATCTTCCCCTTCGTTCATGGATATTTCAATAAGATGGGGAATTGAGGCAGCTGCAAAAGTACCAAGTACAATAGATTTTCACTGTTAGTTTTACTTGATTGAATGTAGCAGGAAATTGCGGCTTTTTGTACACTTCAGTTACTGTATAAATAAGATTTCATATTTTATCCCAAAAAAAAAAAGGTTCTTTGATCTTTAATTTGCCTGAATTTTCAGAGACTAGTTTCCAGCTGTGGTTAATTCTACTGTTGACTTGATCTTCTCTTAATTATATAACATAACTATAATCAGTAAAAAAGCTCAGGGTTATATAGTCACAGCTTGAACAATAGTAGCATACAGCTTCCCTAATTAAGAATGGGATATAACTTTCTTAATGAATTCTAGCTCTCCCCCGCTGGGATCATGCTTTATTTAATTAAAGAAAGGGTTTTGTTTAATTTGTACTTTAAATATATATGTTAAAATTATATTAAATATATTTTTTATTGTAAATTTATTTTAAAAAAATTTAACTTTTAATTTATCAATT